TAATTAAACCATTAATTTGATTTTCTTTCTACGAAGGCAACGGGAGTTCCTTTTCCGGCCGAACCATTCCAAATCGGTGAAAGCTGCTTGAATCAGCCTGCTTTTTCGGGTTTTGCCGGCGTCTGCATTGTGGATGCCGATGTGGTCAATCTTCTGCTGCACGGAACCACTGAACTGGTGTTGGTTTCACTTGCTACAACGCTCGACAATTCAGCAGTTCAGCGAAAAGCCGAGGCCGTCTCCTGTTCTGATTTCTGTGCAAGTGGGTCTAGAAAACGCTTACATTTTCAATAACAAAGAAAGGGTTATTTAGAAATCAGATACAGAAACATATTGAAGTTATAGAAGTGGGTTGATCTCGTTGTCGCATCTTGGTCTTGTTGCCATGGCGACTCAGTCGTCTGCCATATTAGTTTTCATAATACTCAGCATCAGACAGTAGACTTGGTGCATTCTTAAACGTTTCGCCGGCATCGTAGTCGGCATCATCAGTCAGTTTTGCCATTCTCCGCACCAAGCTACGCACTCTTCAAATAGACAAGTTCTGTGACCTTAAGAGACCCTACCACTCGGATGAGGTTAATGAGTGTATCAACCAGGCTTCTATTCTGAAACTAAGTGTGTCATATGTTACAGAGAGGAATAATATGTTTAAGTTTACAGATAGTAAGTCAAAGCTATGGCGTGATTTTGCCAGGATCCTGTTTCCCGAAGACTTTCAAAAACTTCAGAGCATGACCGACAGGAAATCACGTAGGATTTCTGACTTAATAAGAAAACGGCATGACGATAAATTGCGTAAGTTTGGGATTATAAGACAGCCTAAAGTAAAGCCAGTACGCCCAGTTGAAGTGGCTTCCGAGGTGACAACATTTACTGATCAGCATGGCGATAGGAAGAAAGCATTAAACTTGTCATCAATTCCTCTCAATCCCGAAACAACCGTGTTCATGGCAAAAGGACTCAATTTTTCAATTCAACATCACAGAAGCCTTATAGGAGACATCCTGGTGGAGGTTATCAATATCTCCAACAAGTTGCCTGAGGAGACAAAACAAGAAATGGAGATGGAACTAATTCCAAAGATCTTGACACATCAGAAGCCTAAACACAGGATACACAAAACCCTGAAAACGAATGAACAATTAGTCGTTTAGGCGGAGAAAGGAGGAGCTACAGGGATAATGGACAGAAAACAATATACCGAGAAGATCGAACATATTCTACGAGACATGATTACATATCGTATACTAAACAAGGACTCAACTATGAAGATCAATGGAATCTTATGTGTCATGCCTAAAGATATGCATGGGAAGAGGGAAATTGACGCATGGACAAGAAATTCAATAATAAGAAAGGTTGCACGACCACCGACAGCATACGGATTAGCGAAGTAACATTAAGAAGAAGAGCCACTAAGGCTGATAGTCTACAACAAGTATGGAGCAAAACATAAATTGGCAAAAGTTATATGTTTGAAACTCAATAAATTAAATGAGAGACTATCAAACAGTGTCAAACATTCATATGAGTTTTCTCAAAAAATCAAAAAGTGGCACTGGAAGAAACAGACTTATTGGTAAGTTTCAATGTGGAATCTATGTTTATAAATATCTCTTGAGAGAATGCACTAACGGCCCTACTGGAAATCCTGGATCGAGAGGAGAATATCCTGGAATCACAACGGATCAGGAGGGAGTCGCTAAGAAGACTAATCAACTTGACAATAAGGAAAACCTATTTTACATTTAACTGGAACATCTATGAACAAATATTTGGACTTCCAATGCGATCGTCACTCTCACCTCTTTTGGCGAACGAATACATGAACAAAATAAAAGAGGTCTTTTGACCTTGTTTTTGCAACATGGTCATATTGGTAGGAAGACTTAGAGGAACGCGCCTAGTCCGGGGTCCATTGTCTGCATGATCATTTCCAAAGTTGAACCGTAGACGTGGTACCTTTCCGGGCATCGTAGTCGGCATCGTCAGTGAGTATCGCCATCCTAAGCACCATACAGCAACTCGTCAAAGAGACATTCAATTAAAATAGAAGAGAACTTAAAGATGGCACCGATACAACCGGCAGTGCTCATGCGGTACCTGGAAGAGAAAAACTGGAAGATTGTCTGAAGTTTATAAAGGAGATTGATAAAAAAATTAAATTCACGATGGAAGTAGAGGAAGGTGAGCGGTTACCATCCCTGGATTTTGAAGTGATTTGCTCTAATGGAAGACTAAAACAGAAATTGTTCAGAAAGAAGTCCTATGCGGGGATAGTACTCAATTTCAGGTCCCCTCACAATTACTGGCTGAAGATTGGAATAATGAGGTGAATGATTATCAGAAGCCTACGCTTAATGGATGTAGAATTCTGGGACGAGGAGATGGACAAATTAACGAGGATATTCCTCGGCAATGGCTACCCAATCGAAGTGATACAAAGAAACTTACGGGCAACATGACAGAGTAGACAAATTGGACTGTTCAGGAGTTTACTGTAAATATCATCCGGCGCCTGCGAACAGAAATACATTGGCAAAACAGGAAGAACAATTAGCACACGAATCAAGGAATATCAAAAGCTCTGCAGGAAAATGAATATCGAAAGATCAGTATTAGCGGACATATCGAGATCAATTGGAAGGCAATGGAAAGGAAAGCTCTATACGGTGACAACACAAAAAAGCGGAAGATTAGAGAGGCCATTGACATGCTTGGGGAGAAAAATCGAATGAACAGGAGATTGAAGGAAGATAGAGTTAGCGATAAGTTTGTCTACTGCTTAAGCAAAAAGGAGATGCCTAGATCATGGATCTATGATTAACCGGAGGGAAATGGATCACGATGGAGGAAGGGGGGGCAGGGAGCTTCGGCAATAGAGCGAAGACGTCAATGCGTGATGCCCATTTCGAATAAACCAGTACAACTTTGGGAGACTGGCAGTCAGGGAGCTGGTCAGGCGGATAAGCAAACCGTCACGGAAATTCGGCGTTATAGCCAAAATGTACTAGAAATCCACATGAGATGCCGCATGCGACCAGATATAGACATACACAGTTTGCTCAGATAACATGGGTTTAATCAAGAAGACGATCCGTAAAGGAAATGCCTGATATCTGCAAGCATGGCAACCAGAGCTTAGGCGCTCTGCTCAGTGAAGCGGCAGTGTACGTGCTTCTAGGACCTTAAGAAATAGCGCCTGAAGTGAAATGCACACTGGGACTCGGACTGGAATCGAGTGGAATCGGTCAACCAGAAAGAGAAAGAACGGATCTACGAGACAATGAAGGGATCCGTATTGGAGAGAGGGTAGGAGTAAATAGCAAGTGTGATGAGGCCACACTAGATTTGCTACAAAAGTGTACACATTTTTGACAAGTGGAATGTAAACAAGTGAGAAGTTGTGATAGGGCGGCTGTGAGATAAAGGGTGAGTAGATAGATAGACAATGACAGAAAGAGGAGTGATAGTGTAACCGTTTTCGGCAGAACGGTTGTCGAGAGATTGATTTCACTTGTCTCTTTGACGAGTTAGTAGCTCACGGATGATGCCGACTACGATGCCGGCGAATCGTTTGAGAATGTACCAAGTCTACTGTCTGATGCTGGGAATCATGACAACTACTATGGCAGACGATTTCGGACTTATAAGTAATAGTTAATTTCCTCTTGTGCCTAATTCCTCAAGAACGAGATACAGCTTTCTTCTCCTACAATGGCCTAGAACACCTTGTTTATATGCAGTTTTACACCGCAATTTCTCACTTCTCATATACATTTTGTTGATGGCAACCTTTGAACCATTCTCCTCCACCATTCATTTTGTCCACTTCTCAATTTGGTAGATGACCTCGACTGTGGCGACGGCTTGCAATGCGTCAGCTCCATTTCACCCAGTCGTCAGCGTCTCCTTCAATTGGACTGGACTGCAATTCTGGACGGCTTTATCGGACTTTTAGCCGCCCAGGGCCAAACTGGCCGGTTCACTCGAGATGAGTGCTCTCGAGCCGGTGTGATACGCATCAGCATTGTACCCTGTTTGGTCAAGGTTTGCCAATTTTTGGCCGACACCAAAACCTCATCATCAGTGCTCAGACAAGACGCTGGCCGAGGGCGCTGTTCTGACACGGCCAAAGGGCAAAAGTATGGCTCGACCGACCATTTGAGAGAGCGGACTGTGATTCACCCGCCTCGATTGACACTCACTGCTTTGGCGGACAAGGGACAATTGAAGCCAGGCTCGAGACCACACCTTCCGGTATCTTCACAGTTGGAAAAGTCGGTATGTACACTCATGCTGGTTTCAAAAACTTTTCATTCCCAAATGAAGATTGACTTTAAAAAATACCATGATGGTATGGCCTCCATTTGGGTCACAGTCTCATATATGCGAAATGTTTGGTTTGGGGAAATCTCTTGGCTCATGCCTATTCAGCTTACTTTCATTTCGAGTGAAAGTGTTTGGTGAAGAGATTCTAAAGTCGATCCCAAGAGGAGACGACGACGGATTTCTCCTCACCACCTGTCGATTGCCTCTACCGGAACGGGCTTGTGACGCTGTTTCCGAGGCAATCTCTTTTGATTCAGAGTTTTGAACAATTTCTCGGTGATGTATTGTGTCAAGACCTTCCATTTCGAGCGAAAAGTTAGTTGAAAGGAATTCGAGATGTGGTCTCACCAGAAGCTGAAGGAGGATTGTCGCTTAGAGAGGACTGGTGTATTGTGCTAGCCTTCGCCTGTACCGCCGCTCAGAATTTTGGACCCAAAGACCTATACAAGCGGTTTTATGTTTGTATAGTTTCTTCTTAACACCTAACCTTGTAGCAGTCCGATCTTGAAAGAGGGTCCGAAAATTATCCAAACGAAGGAACTGCTAAGGAAAGTGTCAATTTCCCTTTCTACCTTGTTCTCATGCTCTACTTCTCCAACACATGGCCCAACATCTTCGCAAGCTGATAGGAGGGCATAATCAGGAACCGAGTAGGATGGTCCAAGTGTCTATCCCGCCCCAGATAGCAATTTACTCTCATCTTGTTATCTACAATTGTCTTGTCTGCTAATCTTAATGTGTAATTATTTCGAAACTATATGTGCCTCAATCTACCGATCTCCTGGTTCCTGTGGTTCACGTCTGCTAGACACATATTCCTATTGTTGAGCTTACTTCCATTTCGAGTGGAAATGTTGGGTGAAGAGATTCGAAGGTCGGTTCCACCAAAAGACGACGGTGGATTCCTCTTGACCAGCTGTCGATTAGCTCTTCACCCAACATTTCCACTCGAAATGGAAGTAAGCTCACCAATTATGAAACAATAGATTCCTCGAAACCCAAATTTTCTTCGTATACATATTCCTATTTTCACACTAAATGTAGTAAGGAGACTCACATGTGTTCGTTTTCTATGCACATCTATGCACAACTTATTCCCTTCCGCTGTTTAACAACAAGGTGAGGTGAGATTGCTATCAGGGGCTGGATAGACACTTGGACCATTATCGTCGTTTCATGAGTTTGCCTTTCTGTCAGCTTGCGAAAATTTTGGGCAATGTCTTGAGGAAGTGAAACATCAGAACAATGTATAAAGAGAAAGATGCACTTTCTCCAGTAGTTTCTTTGTCTAGGGCATTTTCAGACCCTCTTTCTAAATCAGGTTGCTACAAGGTTTTGTGCTCATGTAGTAATGTCTATGCATATAAAAAAATAAAAAAAAAATAAATGAGTAAAAAAAAAAAGTAAAAAAAAAAAGTTAGGAAGAAAGAAAGCAAGCAAGCAAGCAAGCAAGTAAGTAAGTAAGTAAGTAAGTAAGTAAGTAAGTAAGTAAGTAAGTAAGTAAGTAAGTAAGTAAG